ACTAGTTCAGACTCTCCCTGTGTTTTCTGGAGAGATCAGCTCTAACCGTTCATGAGAGAAGTTTGTCTAGCCTGCATCTGAGTTTTTTGGGTGCATCCACCTTTTCCACCAAAGTCTAAATGTGCAGGTGCAGAGGAACCTGCCAGTATCTTGGAGATTTCCAGCAGTCCAGCCAGGAGGGTGACACCAGGCAGGCTGCCTGAGGAGCAGAGGCATCACTCCTGTATGAGGGGAAGTGATGTCTCTGGCTCTGGCATGATTCCTTCAGCTTGTTCTGCATGCTCTGCAATGTGCATGCTTTGATGTGTCTCCTTGGGCAGACAAGGGAAGCCTATTCCAGCCTGCTATAAGATGCCACCTGAGTTTCTGGGCCTTCCATGTCTGGAGTATTCCAGGCCCTCATGAGCATACCCTTCCTATGGTTTTCATTATTTTTTTACAGTAAATGCACTCCTCTGTGGCTGCCAGTGCTCCATAGTGTTTAGATCTAAAGTACCAAAACCATTGTGTAAATGAATAGCATGCAAATATCAACAACATCTTTTGCTGCTGTTGTCTTATTTTTTGTAGAAGATTTTTTAACAAATGTCCACACCTTTCAGGTAATGCTGTCTGACCTGTTAAATGTGTTAATGAAGCCCTCAATTACATACTTTTGCACCATCTTTTGTCTCTCTCCTTTCAGTCACTTTTCATCTGTTCTTTGCTGCTGAGACTCTAACAAGTTCATACTCATTTGTAACCCTGATGAATAGCTTCTTACTTGATCAACCCAAACCTCTGTCCAGCTGTCCATCTGTACCAGCTAAATCCAGGAGACCTGCAGGCAGGAGAGGCTGAGCAAGTGTCATCCTACTGCAGCTCTAATAATACCAATGCAACAAACTCAGGGCATAATTTTCCCCTTTTTTCTAAAGGGAGTAATTGCTATTTCCCCCCCCCCCCCCCTTATTTATATTTGCTTACTGACATTAGGATGTGATAGTTTGGGTTTGTATATTTTTATATTTCTGTTTTTATATTCCAATATAAATTGACCTAAAGTTCTGGGACAACGTTGGGAGTAGACAGGCAACAGGGTCCCCACTCTTCAAGCAATTCAAGCAAGAGTATGAATGGCCAGTTCCCAAGAACAATTTTGCACTGGGGGACTAAGGGAAAGCAAGACAAATAAATCCTTAATCTGTTGGCCATAGCTCACCTGAAAAGAAATTTCACCCCCAAATTTGCATCAATTTAAAAATAAGATTGAGCAAGGCTTGCGTGATTTTAAAAAAAGGACATGTAAGCTTTACCTGCTTATGTCTGCCATAAGGACAGTGCTGTTATTATGTGCTATTACTCTGAAAAGATTTTTTACAATCCTTTCTGGTATGCAGAGCCAGCAGCCAGGAGGTACCATATGGTGAAGATAACCTGAGGGCAAGGACTCCTGGCAATGTTAGCACATTTCTGAAGTGGTATCTAAGGTTAGTTTAAGCATGTGTTGAATTACCCTGATTTCTGAATCCTGATATGGGTGGGGAATGTTAACAAAGGAATACAAGTATCTGTCTTTGGGGTTTTCTGAGTAATATTTTAAAAATAATGGCACATTAAACTGTACTTTATTTCATTTAATTTGACTTGCACTATTATATAAATAACATCATTTATGCATCATAATGTGTAAAAATTGTCCATGTGTGCACAACCAGCTGTCAGCTGTCTTTGGAGGCATTTTTGGGTCTGCACAGAACTTGTGCCAGTGATGGTGAGGCAGGAGTACACGCAGCTGGATTATTTCTAGTGCTAATAAGCCTCCCCAGAACCCCAGTGCAGAGTAGTAATGTAGTAGTAACGTGGTGATTTAGCCATCTGTGATCCTGGAGAGCTGGCCCTGAACTGGAGCTAGTATGTGCTGGCTGGCCATGTGCAGAGACGGACACCTGGCAGGCAGCATACTGTGGTCCCCAGGGAAGCCTGGAGCATGCATACTTTATCCTTCTGTGGTGCAGGTATCCAAGCCTCCTTCTTCTTTTGATGATTCATTCATGGAGCACATTTCCAGAGGAGTGGTGAGATCTAAAAACATTGTTTCTAGGAACTGCTGACTGGTAAAATATGAAGAAAATGGAAACTGCTGTATAAAATATCACTATTTTGATCTGGTTTTGTGTTCCATCCTGTTGGGAATGACAAGATATGAGGAAAAAACTTTTTACAATGAGAGTGGTAAAATACTGACACAAGTTGCTCAGAGATGTAGGGGATGCGTCGTCCCTGGAGACATTCAAGGCCAGGCTGGATGCGGCGCTGGGCAACCTGATCTTGTTGAAGACGTCCCTGTTCATTGCAGGGGTGCTGGACTAGATGACCTTTGAAAGTCCCTTCCAACCCAAATCATTCTATGATTCCATGATTCCAAGATAATAATATCTCTTAGATTCAAAGGCAACATTTAGCTTCAGGACAAATAAATGTGTCAGACTTTTAGCCCCAACCCTACCTGTACAGCTCCTTGCAGACTGGGATGCTTCTTCAGCCATTAGGGCTTCTTGATGGTGCTGAGGACATATGAACATTTTAACAACCCCCAAACCACAGAAATCAAGATATAAAGAGCTCACTGTCCCTTTTAGGTTTCTCAGCTTTTTGAACAAGTGCCCCAGCTTTAGACTATTTCAGTAATTCAATAAGAACAAAATTCTAATTTCTACTCTTTCAGTTTGGAAAGGACATTGGATTGGAGGGAAGGATCTTACACTTGTGTTCAGTGCATCCTCCTTGGTTTTCAAACAATAGAGAGCTGGAGGGTTCCCATAGGAAGAAGAAGCCAGCAGTTGAGTTAAGGAGTCAGAGTGTTAGAAAGAGGACTCGGGTGGTGCCACAAAGAGTTCAACTGAAGCTGCCATATTCATCCTCCCACCCGGTGGCTTTGTTCTCCCAGTGTGTGTTCTGGGGATAAGTTAATTAGGACAAATCACAGGTCTCTGGGACTTCCCACTTCGTAGGCACCACTTCATTTACAATCCCTTTCAAATCCTTCCTGTCTTGAGATGGGAGGGGATTTCTGAACTGGCCATTAAGTTGGAGTTGGCAAAGCCTCTGTTAGTATTTTAGTGCAACATTCTGCTTTGGGACCCTGGATCTGTTATCTGAGGACAAAAGCAATAACAGAAAGCAAGGCATTCCTGAAAGGCAATGCAGTTTGTACATGGCATCCTTATGTTACCCTTCTTGTGCAGCATGGAGCTCTTCAGAAAGCCCTCTTTGATCCAAGTTGAACTTTAACCCTTCAGAGTTCAGAGGTTATGTAAAAAACTTTCTTCCTGGCTTTTAACGTCAGCGACTAGAGATTTAAGCCTTAATAGCGACAAACTCCCATTGTTTTCTGCACACCAGGATTTAGATGGGATTAAATTCAATGAGATATGCAGCAGGTCTCTGTAGCTTGCTTCTGGCAATGGTGTTTCTCCTGGGACCTTCAGGTTTTCAGGAAGAAACTTGGTGCCCAGTTCTAGTCTGCATGTATGTCCTGACCAAAACTGCCTTGTCCAAATGCAATTTGGGAAAAAAAATTAAGAGGGATCCCTGCTTGCCATATCTGCTTCATTTTTTCTATCTTTCTGTTGGCTGGTAGAGTTTAGAGATGTGAAACAAACTGCCAGCGCCCAGAGAGCTTCCCAGCACTTAATTTCCCATGGATAGCCTTGCCGAAAGAGAAAGTACAAACATTTTGCTCATGAGTATCACAACCAAATTGAGCTTATAATATTACAAGCCCAAGCCCAAACCCAGCTGAATACATGCTCTGTGTTTTCAGTGAGCCTCAGCCTCTAATAAAGAAAAACATCAGAAAATAAAGGCAGATGCTGCCAGAAAATATCACTTCCCCTGGAGGGAAGGGAAAGAACAAAAGAGATCAGCTGGCAGTGTGAAATATTTTGCCTAGAGAGATTTTGGTATGTTTCCCTAGCCACAGTGGGCAAATCCTTATGTATCTCTTATCTGGGTTCTGTACTTGTAAGTGCTATTAATGCACCCAGCAAAACCTAGTCTTTTGAGAAAAAACACAATAAATCACTTTAACCTGTCAGCCTGTAGGTGATGGCTGGATCTACCATGAAGTGCAGTGAGAGCAGAGCCTTGCACAGTAGGATCTGCTGTTTGCCTCTGATACGCTGCTCCATCACTGCCAGGGAGCAGATCCCACCTGGGCAGCACGGCACTCTCTTCAAAGGCCAGCATGGAGGGCCTCCTTAGGGCAACTTGAAAGAGTAGCAGCGTGGAACGGAAAAGGCCAGGGTCATGGTGGAGCATAGATCACTCCCCAGGAGCAGCCACACAGCCTGCAGGACACTTGGAACTTCCTGGAAGCCTCTGAGTTGCAAGGTTTCCTGCATTAACTAGCTGGCTGCTGGATTGCTGAGGTAGGTGCTATAGATCAGCAGTGTGATTTTTGATGTCTCCAGCACACAGTGGTGTGTGAAGGCACTTGCACTGCTGTACTACACTCATATCAGACTTTTTTGTCTTTAAATGGGGCAAGAAGGATCTCAACCTCAGCTTTGCTGATGCTGCCCCAAAAGTACCAAGATACCTAACTCCTGTCCAGTCATAGCAAGGTATCTTAGATCCTTGGGTTCTCTATGGCTGTGGAGGTGAACTTATGAGAAAGTCAGATTTGATCATATGCATGCCCAGCTAACAGCTTGACCACTGAGTTCTTTGATGGCTCTGAGTGCCCGTGGACACAGTGCTTCTCAGATACTGAATCCCTGAGGAGCTCAGCCCAAGAGACATCTGACAATATAGGCACATTAGGGACATCTGCACCATAAATATCCTCTACAAGTCACTGGGTTGTCTGCAGGCAGGACTTCAAAGCAGGCTTCCATGAGGACCTCCTGGAGGTCAGTCTGAGAATCTGGAGTACAGGCTTGAGAGAGGTGTGATATTAGTAGGTATGTGAGAAAGCACAGCAATGATTTTCCAGGGGACAAGAAAGGGGTCAGAGAGGGACAAAAGTGGCACAAAAGAGTGGAACCTCATGAGGGGAAAACACAGGAGAGGAAAGTAGTGCATTGAAATTTAGATGCGATGGTCTTTGATTTGCATTGGTCTCAGCAGACTTTACCATGTACTTCTCTATGCAAAGGTAGGCAGGAGCAGATAGCACAAAAACTGGTGTTGAAAGAGGCTTCAAGACGCACCCTGACAGAGCCTGTAGTCCTTAGACACGTCCCCGTAGTTTCATGGATCATCTTGTATGGGAGTCAGAGCAGAAGAGCATCCTTCCAGGGCAGAGAGACCCAGAACCCCAATACCACACAGCCTTGCTTCTGAGAAGGCAGGAGTATCTCCACGTCTGTAGCAGCCTTTCCACAGGCAGATGCAGAGGCAGTAGCGTAGCTTGGCAATGGGGACTTGTGAGCTGTCTATTCACTGTTGCTTCAAAGAGCCTGCCAATGACTCTGATGTTTCGCACTTTGCTTCCCTCAGAGATCTTGGATAAACATCACCTCTCCACCCCAGGGAATTACTGCACTTGCTTCCCTTTTGCTACTCATAGCTGTTGCTGCAGAGGTTTTGCTGTGCATCAGGGCTATCTGAGGATGGCCTTACACCACACACTTCTGTGCCTTAAATGGCAGCATCTGATTTAGGAGCATGGCCTGACAGAAGGACAGGAGCAGCTGCAATTGCTCAGGACTCAGCACTTTGAGGGAAAAAATGCTTTGAAATGCTCTTTTTGTTTCCCTGCAGAGGTAGCATGTTCCCCAAGGAAAGGATGTGAGAACAGTGTGTGAGGGATGGGGACGGGTGCCTTGCACAGGAGAAATCACTGCTGGGCAGAGCTCAGCCTAGAGGCAGGATCGGGCCATCCCTTGGGGGCAGCACTTCTTGGCTGTCAGTGGAGAGTGACAAGCAGTGCAGTGAGGTACTGCTATCACCCTGTGCCTATGCAAAAGAGAGGCTTGGGAGGGGGAGGAAGAAATCTCTATCAAGTTCCTCCAACAAGTCTGGCTTATCCCACAGCCAGACAGCTTTCACTCTGACAGTGACATGACCACAAGGTGTGAGACTGGAGGACACTAACTCACCTGTGCATGGTGCAAAGAGTTGATCTTGGGAGCCAACAGGCACAGTGTTCCTGAAGCACCAAGGTTGCCTTTTGCCCCCAGGTTAGCCCAGTTTGTTATAATAAGCTCTTGAAGAAAAGCTGAGAAGAGGGAGCAGTGAGGGTGTTTACTTTTCTCTTCCCCCACCTTCTCTTTACACTCCTAAAGTTTCAGTGAGGCAGCAACATTTCATTTGTGTAACCTTGCCCTGGGCTGCACTGCTTTGTGCTGCCATTCCTTCCTGCCTCCTGAGACAGCTCAGGTGAGTGCAACCCTGATGTCACTGGGCAGTCCCAGAGGCTCCAGAAAGCAGTGGGTAGGACACTAGAGAAGACATCCTCCTTTTCAAATTGCTTCAAAATGATGAGCTGGATCCTACAGGGCCCTGGGATGACACTGGAAACAAGGGTGCTGCACACGTCATGGATGTGACATGTATTAGGGCTGTCTGGAAGTCTTATGAGGAATTACTTGGAGAATTTGTATCAAGTGTCTGCCTTGGGAAATTTTTACTTCAGTTGGAAAATTGGAAAAAAAATGTGGCTGCAAGTAGAAATAAGTTAGGTTTTCAGCTGAAAATGGCAAAATTAATTGATTTTTCTCTTGAGAAACTTAATTGTTTTCAGCTCTAATTTGAGGACAATTTATTGGAAAATATTCTGCCTCTGTGCAGAAAGAACTTTTTGCCACAGTGGTACAGAACTGGTATCCTACAAAGGTTATAAATGTGGGATATTGGCTCTTAGCACTTTTACAGTGCCCTTTGCAGATGCAGAAGGGTGTACACCTTGTTGTAAGAGCTGAAGAATAAGTTATTTAGCCTTCTCAATTCTGCTATCTGAACTGTTGTAATCTAAAACCGTACACCATAGCTAAAGTATAACTATTGCAGCTATACCTTTGGAGAGCTGTTCCCGAGCTTGTTATCCTCTTTTGCAGTTTGGTGTTGTGCATTCTTCAGTTTCAGGCAGTATCAGCGAGTGAGGAAGGAATCCATTCATATAATTTATCCAGTGTACCAAATTGCTGCTCTTAGAATGAAAACACTCAGTAGTAGGAAACACATAAAGAGGATGTATGTTTGTTCAGCCCAGATCTCTATAAGGGTAATTTTCTGGGGTATTGCCTTTTCTTTTTTTTTTTTTTTTTCATTAATTCACTGAATTTTTCTGTACCCGTGGGATGGTACAAAATGGAACCTTTGGGTTTTTATTCAGTATCATTAATCAATCCATCACAAATCATAGTGATTCCTGAAACCATTTTCTCTCCATAGTCTCTTATCCTTTTAATCATCCCCCATCCCTACTGTCTCACTTTTCTTCTGTGAATGCTGTGACTGACAGCCTATGCTCTATGTGCTCCTAATTGGCTTTCTGGGTATAAAAGAGTGAAAATGCTTCAGCAGAACCCCTCTGCTAAAGAGCTTTCAAACCTTGGGCTCTGCCAGCAAATTTTTGCTGTCACTTTACTTTGGCTGTTGCCTGGAGCACCTATGTGAGTCGTGCTGCTCTCCAGCACAAGCATGCTCAATCAAATGTGTGCCTGGCACTCCCTGGGACCTGGAGCACAAGCACTCCGCCCAGGGGACACATCAATACAGGCACTTGGGCTTTCACTGTGATGAGGAGGACAAAGCTTTTGTGCTCAGCACACCTGAGGAAGGGCTGAAATGTGGCAGTACCTGTGCTGTGCACAAGGTCTCTGATGCCAAAGGAGAAACTTTGGGTCTGGTGCAGGAAGTCAGTTGTGTTGGAAGGATTCATGCAGTCTCAGAGGAACAGGAGGATAAGGCAGTTCTTGAAGGACCCTGCCAGCAGCTTCTCCTGGTAGAAAGAGGACATCTGGAGTCACAGGCGAAAGGCCTCTTTCCTCCCCCACTTCTGGGTTAATGTTCTCCTCTGGTTAGGATGGTGATATTCACACACTGTCATCTGAGGCTCTTCTGAAGGGAATAGAAGGGTAACTCCCAAGGAGCCAAACTCCAGGTGTGCCAGGTCCAGGTCCTGGATCATTGCAGGCTGATCTAGACTCAATTTGTGATGTTCAAAAGCTGGAAGAAAAGAGATAAGGTGGAAACAAGGCCAGTAAAGCTAAAGCTACATACTCTTTTTGCATAGTCAGAGTTCTGTGCTATATGTGAATTCTTGCGGCACTGCAGGGTGGCTAGCTGCGTGTTAGAAGGGCAGCCAGCACAGTGCGTTTAGAGTTTACTTGTGATAGACAAGTTTTCTGATGGTAGCAGCCACTATTTGGAAGCATCTGCCATGTGGAACTATCTGCTGCTGTGCAGTGCAGCTGTTGCTCCCCCTCTCTGTCCTGGTACCTGGCAGGGCTGGCCAGCAAATCCAGGAGGCCATAATCTTCCCAGTGTGAAGGCTGTGGGGCAGGAGCTGGGGTTTGTGCTGCATGTGCACTCTGAGGAGTGTAATGGGGACCAGTTGTGTGAGCCCTATGCTCAATATTCAAGGCTTGGTCAGCTTTAAGTTGTCACAAGTTTGGCACCCAGACGCTGAGGTGTCTCCCAACACCTGTGATTCAGAAGAAAAATAAAAGGATGAAGTTTCTGGACAGGTTGATTACTGCAGAGTTGCCAGCACTCAAGTCTTATAGCACTGGGGTTTTTAAATCTCAGCTGCCAAAATTAGAGTACCACTGAGAATAGCAGCTTACATTTCTTAACTTAGTTTCCTAAGGAAACCAGGCTTTACAGGATCAGCATATCTATCCATCTGCCTTTCAATCCCTCCCTAATGACTTTCAAACCTCTTAGCAGGCTGGAGAGAAGGGATGAAGTCTCAAAGTTATTAAGTTTGTATGATCATTACAACACTGGGCAAGGAAGAGAATGAGAGGAATCTTATTAAAGCCCTCCCTAGGGTAGAACAAGCAGGATGGGGTTGTCAGCCATGCTGTTTGTTAGCAGCTGCCTGCCCCACCAGTGCACACAGGCAGGTCTGTCAGTCTTCCCATGGTGCTCCTTGCCTAGACAGCTAACACAGACATAGAAAACCTGCCATCACCACTTTGCTGCCTGCACAGCAGTTTTAGCTTACCTGCAATTCTTCATGGTTGCAAAAGTGAACTGGAAAAAAAAAGCCTACCATCCCCTGGTTTCAGAAGGCCTCTATGAAATGTGCCTTACCTGCAAGACGACATTGTAAAAGGATGGGTCTTTGAATGCTCTGAATGTAAGCAGGCTTTTCAGGATGACTGTGTTTTCCCATATCTGATACCCCCAGGAGAAGGGTGAAGTGTGAAGTCTGGTGCTTTGTGACTAAGCATCTCTATATTGATACCTCACGGTCTTTGCTGTACGTAACCTCACAAAACCTTTCCTAAGGTGGGCTGAGCTGTTGCCCGTTTTCATAATAATGAACCATGAGATCTAGCAACTTGCTTAAAATCACTAGAAGTCCGCTAGCTTTTGATTTAGATCATGAATAACAGAATAGGAGCATACCTTTACCTATTGCTGTTTTTTTTTTAAGGGTACTATAAGATCACCTAAAGCTTGGTAAAATAATACTGCAGTCACGTTCCTCTGGTATTTCTTTAGCTGAAAAGAGAATAAGAAGATCACCTCCACTATTCCTTCTTCTCTAATTGAGTTTTATTTATGGACCCACTACAGAAATATTTTTGACCTATCCCTTATTCAGCTGAGAGAAAAAAAATCCAAACCCTTTCTCTAACAGCTGATTCTTTGGACCATTGACGCAGCCTGTTTTTCTGTAAAATTATTTTATAAAGTGATTAAGAAAGTCATTGCATTTTATGACATAGAAGGTGACTGGCCTTTTTCAAGCAGATTTTATTCCTCTCTCCATTAGCAGGGTCTCAGGCTTACAAGGACACAGTCTTTTTTTGAAAGCCAATGCTGTGAATTGAGGGCAAGAAGGGGA